CAGGCATAATTCCAGCAAAGATTGGTAATTTACGAAATTTGCAGCAATTGCAATTGGAGAACAACGGCATCGTGGGTTCAATACCGCGCAGCATACGGAACATGACATCGCTATGGATACTTAATTTCAAGACCAACAATTTAACAGGTAAGTTTCGAGCAATGTGTTGTTGTTTGGCCATCCAGATATACTCTTTCTGAATGGTTTAATGGAAACAAAATTAAATCTTTATGCTCTCTATGATGATGCAGGTGTTATACCCGGAGAGATTGGGAACCTTCACAAGTTGGAGAAACTTTATTTGCAATTTAATGAATTAAGTGGTTCCATACCGGAAGAGCTCTTCAATATCTCTACGCTAAGAAGGGTATCACTTTCTACGAATAATCTTTCGGGTAGTCTTCCATTAGCTTTCGGTTACTGGCCAACAAATCTACAGTTTTTGAATTTTTTGGAAATAACATTGGTGGAGTAATACCCAGAGAGATTGGGAGCCTTCACAAATTGGAGGGACTTATTCTTCAACATAATAAACTAAGTGGTTCCCTACCCAGAGAGATTGGGAACCTTCACAAATTGGAGGTACTTGATCTTGGAGTTAATAAACTAAGTGGTTCCATACCGGAAGAGCTCTTCAATATCTCTAAGATAAGAGAGATGTCACTTGGATTTAATAACATTTCGGGCAGTCTTCCATCTGCTTCAAGCTACTGTCAAACAAATCTACATTATCTGAATCTTGGTGTGAACAACATAGATGGAGTTATACCTAGCTCAATCTCCAATTCTTCAAATCTAAAGGAATTATATCTGAACAACAACAAATTCAGTGGCCCGCTTCCTAACTCTTTGGGGGATTTGAGACAGCTTGAACGTTTGACGTTGTTCGAAAACAACTTATCATCTCCGCACCTAAGTATCTTAACTTCTTTGGCGAACTGCAGATCTTTGAAAGTGTTAGCGATATCGGATAATCCTCTTAATGGTGTTCTTCCAGATTCCATTGGCAATCTCTCCAGTTCTCTTGAACTATTTGGTTTAGGTGAAACTGAAATTAGGGGACAGATACCATTAGGAATTGGGAATTTAAGTAACTTAAACACTTTTTCCATATCCCGCAATGACTTGACTGGATCAGTGCCAAGATCAATATGTGATTTACATAATCTTCAAGGGTTCTATCTTTACCATAACAGATTAAATGGACCCTTACCAGACTGCCTTTGCAAATTGCCGGAGTTAGGCTTGGTTGATTTGTCTTATAATCAAATATCGGGTCCAATACCATATTGCATTGGCGATACTACCTCTTTGAGAAATATTTACCTAAATTCAAATAGGCTCACTAACATACCCATGAGTTTATGGAGCCTCAAAGATCTTGTTCGGCTGGACTTGTCCAATAATTCTTTGGTTGGTTCTTTACCTCCAGATTTCGGAAATTTGGATGCCATAACAGTAGTAGATTTGTCGAGGAATAACCTTTCAGGAAGTATTCCAACCACGGTCGGAGACTTGCAGAAACTAATTAATCTTTCTTTGGCTTTCAATGAGTTGCAAGGATCTATTCCTGAGTCACTCGGAAAAATGATAAGTTTGGAATCAGCGGATCTATCCAATAACATTCTTTCAGGTATGATTCCAAAATCATTAGAGGCACTTCGGTATCTGAAGAATTTCAATGTATCATTCAATAGATTAGAAGGTGAAATCCCAAATAAAGGACCCTTTCTCAACTTCACCTCTCAATCTTTTATGGGAAATGAAGAGTTATGTGGTGGTTTCCTTTTTCAACCTTGTAAGACTAGGACTTTTCATCAGTCAAGGAGAAGCAAAGTGCTTTTGATTGTACTTGTCACATTGGCAATTTCGTTGATGGGAATTGGCTCAATCGTTGTGTTCATGTTAAAGAGATGCGGAAAAAGAAAGGTTTCAACTCCACCCGAATCCTTACCTGCAACAACGATACTAGCCAGGATTTCATACATTGAAATCGAAAGGGCAACTCAGAGGTTCGACCAATGCAACTTGCTAGGCCATGGAGGTTTCGGTTCTGTTTACAAGGGCATCTTTGCAAATGGGATGGTTTTGGCAATCAAAGTGTTTAATTTACAGATTGAAGGTGCATTCAAGAGTTTTGATACTGAATGTGAAATTTTACGCAACCTTCGCCATAGAAATCTTACCAAAGTTATCAGCAGTTGTACTAACATGGATTTTAAAGCATTACTTCTAGAGTACATGCCCAATGGACGCCTAGAGCAATGGTTACATTCTGATGATTACTACTTGAATATGATCCAAAGATTAGACATAATGATCGATGTTGCATCAGCTTTGGAATATCTCCATCATGGTTATGCAACAGTCGTTGTACATGGCGACTTGAAGCCTAGTAACGTCTTACTAGACGAAAGGCTGGTTGGACATGTGAGTGACTTTGGCCTCACCAAGTTATTAGGAGAAGGGGAATCTATTGCTCATACTAACACACTTGCAACGATGGGCTATATTGCACCAGGTAACTTTCTTTTTTGGTCTTTTATTATCGAATATAAAGTGCTAATGTATCAAATAGTACGTAATCTTTCGTTTTCTAGTTTTATGTAATATATCACAGATTCATGAAAAAATGGTATTGAAACATCGAAATATAGAGCCCATTTGGCTTAGCTAAAATAGGAATGTAGCTTTTAAGCACCAAGTGCGGAAAATATTTTTTAAGTGCTGAAACTGATTTTATGAACAAGAAATTATGCGGTTAGATAGAAGTGCTGAGACTGAAATAAACAGTTGATGTGTTTGTTAAAAAAGTGCTAATCAACATTTTTTTCTATTAAAATGACCAAAATGCCATTAAGATGTTAATATCAAACAATAGATTATTGCAAGACTTTTCATTTCCAATACAAATTATTATATCTTTCAATTCATGTTTAAGTTATAAATTGAATAGAAAATTATTATCTCAAACGAATATAAGTTATTTATTGAAATAACATAGTACTAATTAATATATGCCCAACTTATCGCTTTTGACTTTTTTTGGGCTAAAGTACAAGACTTTTAGACAGTTTTTTTTGGCTTGCCAAACATCTTATTTGCTAGTTTTAATGTAACATATCACAGATTTTGCACGAAACAAGGGGTATTGAGAGCGTGGAAATATGACAATTTCAAACTCTATATTCATGCATCTACGACAATTAAGAAAAACTTGCAGTTTTTCGTTTCATTTGATTGTCTTACTCTTGGTTCATTCCCATTCCACCTATTTTTATTTTTTTAAAATTTTTATCTACTCAAGATAGTTTTAAATTTTTTTAATATCTTCCAAATACAAAGATATTACTTTCGTTTATTTATTTAGTTTGTTAAGAAACTAATTACTCTAGTAACATTGGATCAGAGTATGGATCAGTAGGATTAGTTTCTAGAAGATGTGATGTGTACAGCTACGGCATAATGCTCATGGAAACATTCACAAGAAAAAAGCCATATGATGAAATGTTTCAAGAAAATTTGAGCATGAGGAGTTGGGTCTGTAATTCAATACCTGCAACACCAGAAGATATTATTGATGCCACTTTATTGGATCCAGAAGAGATTGATTTCAAGAAAAAGTTACATTGTGTGTCCTCTATTTTGGAGTTGGCTTTGAATTGCACAACTGAATCTCCTAATGAGAGGCTGAACATGAAAGATGTCCTGGCAAATATCAAGAAGATCAAGCTGGAATTTCTTCGCAAATGATGTAGCAAGGTTTATGTGATGGTAAGTATCCAGCTTTTTCATCAATATTCTCATGTCATCCGGATAGAAATGATTATTTTCTTGTCTATACCATTTGTAAATGTAGAAATAAGATGTCTTAATTTAAGAAGGCAAAACAAAAGGAAAATAAAGGTCCAATGAAACTAAGAAAGAAATTTAACGTTCAAGAAATTTAGAGTTTCATTTATCAAAGGAAAATTATGAAAATAACTTAAGTCTCAATATTCACGCCCCATAACTCCGGCGTCCGGCAAGGTAAGATTGCAAGATTGGTCTCAAAAGAACCCCTAGTTTTAGAGAACAATCCCCAATTGTTTTCATCCTCATATTCATAACCAATCTTTACAGATCTTAATTTCTCTGGATTTTAGCTTCATTTGATGTTCTTCGCGTCATTTATGTGATGTTCTGACCAGCCATGGTTGCCTTCGTCTCTCCCCAGCTCCAAGCTGTGGGAGAGCCACATCAAGTACCTGTAAAGAATGTTCAAAATAATAGCACACACAATTCATACGCTGCCCAGTTGTCTCAACCAAAAGTAGCAACAACATCAAATCAAAAAATCTTAAAACATATTGAAGTTATTCATGGAGTTCCAACAATTCAATTCTCAATGGAAGAAAGGATGGAATTTGCAAAGGAGGAAGGTTTGCATCAAACTATTGTAGTGAAACTTTCTTCGAACTCTCCAGATTTATCCGCATTGAGAAGTTTACTGCCAAAATTTTTTGGCATCAAAGGACATGCTTTAATCAGGCAACTTGCCCCAAGGCAGTTGCTCATTAGGGTCGATCAACATGACGACTTCGTCAATTCACTTGCAAGGTCATTTAACTACTTTAAATACAATGGTAGGGAGCACCAAATCAGAACATTCCCATGGTCTATTGGATTTAATGTAAATGAGAAAACAACAAAGGCAGTGGTTTGGATTTCATTGCCTAATCTGCCAACTGAGTTGTTTGCAATGAAGGCTTTGTTGTCTATCGCTTCAGCAGTTGGCAAACCAATAGCCATTGACAAAGCAACTCAGACCAAGTCGCGTCCTAGTACTACAAGGGTGAAGGTTATCCTTGATTTAATGGATAAACTCCCTGATAAAATAAAGTTGCAATTTCTGGACAAACAAACGGGCAAATGGTTGAAATTTTTCAAGAGTTTGTTTATGATAATTTGCCATTATATTGCAACCATTGTAAACACCAAGGAC